TGGTGTCACAATGGGAATGGTTGGAGACTCGAGGGAACGGTCTCCTCCATGTCCATTTGGCTGTGGTTGTATCCGATCCATAGGCCCTGTGCATTGCGTCCTCCCTGTCACAACTGACAGCTCCTCGGATCTCCAGCCATTGCAATTTCAGCAGGAGTGTAGTCTAGTAAAAGCAGAATTCCCATCTCATCCAGGTTGATGTCCGTGCCAACCTGCTACACAGACAGGGGAGTATGGTGTGGCGCTGGGCCTTTCACTTGTTTGTTCTATGGATGAGGAGTATTTGCCATATTGGGTCTTAGCACTGGGCTGCTGCCTCTAGCAATGGCCTGTGCTGGATGCGTCAGAGGAAACCCCAAATCACCTATTTGCAACCATTGGGGAAGAACCTCAGCTGGGGTAAACCAGCATCATTCCAATTAAGTCAGTTGAACAATGCTGATTTACACCAGCTGAGGCTCTGGCTCTGAAAGAAATTGTAGCAAACTGGTGTGTTTTTTCACTATGGAAGCTGGTTGCGTTTGAGTCAGCTCAGACACTGAAGTGTCCCGGTTGGTTTCATGTCCTGGCTCGCGGGCAGTTACCCTGCTGGGTTTCTCAGCACAGCAAGGGAATGTTTGGGTGCATACCACTTCAGCTAGTGTGGAGGGCAATGCCAGGGGTGGGCCACTGAAGGAGCTATGGGTTCCACAGTTAAAAGGATCGAGGGGCCCTAACACCCCATGCTAATGGCACGGGGAGTTGCACTACAATCCTGCATCCTGCTTCTTCTCTGGGAGTTGCATTGCACCCCTTGAACCTCATAGATTTTAAAGCCAGAAGATAATATAGGCCAGGGAATTTCACCCAGTGATTCCTGCCCCAAGCCCATATTCATCGAGTCATATAAGCCATATCTTGGTGGTTGAGCCAGAGCATATTTTTTTTAGAAAGAAACATCATATCTTAATGTAAAAACTCCAAGTGATGGAGGAATCTTTGTTGACAAGTTTGAGATTTTAGCTCCAAAGTCAGTTTCCATGCTCATAAGAATGGCCCTACTGGGTCAGACGAAAGGTCCATCTAGCCCAGTAATCTGTCTTCCGACAGTGGCCAATGCCAGGTGCCCCACAGGGAATGAACAGAACAGGTAATCATCAAGTGATCCATCCCCTGCAGCCCACTCCCAGCCTCTGGCAAACAGAGGCTAGGGACACCATCCCTGCTCATCTTGGCTAATAGCAGTCCCTAGTAGACCCAAACAGCAAGCAACAGGGTTACACTATTAGGTGGGTCTCTCATTCCTATTTAGAGGCCTGCTCTCCCCATAGAACTTGCATTGTTATTATAATGGGGATTAATTTTCTCTCCTTCCAAGTGCACAACAGTCTATGACAATAAGAGTTTTGTGTGCCCAGTGAGAGCAAAGTGGCCCATTGATTGTGCAGTCCGTAAGCAGCTTCCATTTCTAATGCACACACTGTGGGCCGGTCCCATGTTCAGTCGTGCTGTCCTGTGGGTTGAAGGTTTAAACCACTGAAGTGGGGTAAACATGAAAAGAAAGACTGAAAAAATCTACCCTTCTTTTCCACTGAATTTAGGCAAGAGCACTAAGAAGTAAAGATGGCCACATGCTGCGGAACTTAGATCCAGAATTTTGGACATCCCAAGGTTGGGGAGGGTTCGGCTGGAGGTCTTGGGTCAGTGCCTTGTATATATAGGGGCCACTTGCAAGATTCAGAACTGTATGTGCAGCGGGATTACAAACATCCTCCGAGATCAGGGGAGTTCAGGCTACGGATGGGTTAGAAAACCTGACCTCTGAGGAAAGGTTGAAAAACAACTGGTCATGTTTAGTCTTGAGAAAAGAAGACTGAGTGGGACCTGACAACAGTCTGCCAATATCTTAAGGACTTGTATAAAAGAGGACGGTGATTAATTGTTCTCCATGTCCACTGAAGGTAGGATAAGAAGCAATGGGCTTAATTTGCAGCAAGGGAGGTTTAGGTTGGATATTGCAGAAAACTTTCTAATTCTAAGAGTAGTTAAGCTCTGGAATAGGCTTCCAAGGGAGGTAGTGGAGGTAGTTCCCATCACTGGAAGTGTTGATCAAACCCCTGTCAGGAATGGTGTAGGTTTACTTGGTCCTGGCACAGCGCAGGAGGCTGGACTTGACTTCTCGAGGTCCCTTCCAGCCCTGCATTTCTATGATCCTATGACTGGGTTTAGCCCATTATAAAGATGCGGGCTGTCTGGTGATCTAGGGTTCCCATTTCAAACACGTCAAAGTCTGTGTGCCTTTCCGATCAGGCCCTGTTAGAAACAGAAGCTGTTTCTTATTCCCCTGGGATCTAGTGGGGAAGTTGGAAATTTCCGCTGCCTTCGAATCCAGGTTTGCTAATGGATGAAGGCAACCCCCCTTTCAGTCCCACATGTCCCTCACCACTGGAGTGTCTGAGCATCTCCCAGACCAGTCACTGCTATGGGGGAAATACAGTCCCCATTTTAGAGACAGAGAAGTGAGGCACTGAAGAAGCGACTTACCCAGGATCATGCCAGCAGCTTGTTGCAGAGATGGAAATGATCCCAGGCCCCTAAGGCCGAGTCCAGTGCTCTGTCCACTAGACCATCCTTCCTACCTTCTTCTCTTCTGTGCTTGCTTAGGTGACAGGTGGTGGCAATTGAGCTGAAAAGCCTGAAGAGGCATTTCCTGCCGACGGGAGCAAAACACAGTTACTTATGAAGGAAAAATATCACAGGTTTTTGTTTTTTTTTCCCCCTTCACAACAGAAGCCGCATAAGCCAGAGCAGCAGCTTTAACGTGTGCTAGCGATCTGACCAGCAGACAGCTGGGGAGCATCTGATGTGGCCAGCCTTTTCCTGGGTCACCGTTTGTTTCTGCTGGGGACAGGGTGCGGGAGAGAGGGAGAGAGAGCGTGAAGGAAAATGGCAGCTGCCAATCTCTTTGTAACTCCCACGAGGCTCGCACAGGTTGGCCCTTGTGTGAATAGAAAGGTCATGTTTCACCAGGGTTTGTACCAAGGCAAAACTCTCCTCTCTAATTGGCATTGTGTGGGGGAGGAGTCTCCACTCTGCCATTTCTCTGGGAATGGAGCTGCTGCTGGGATAGAAGCATATTGGTGAGGAGATCTCCCATGCGGGTCTGGGAGGAGTATTGTGCCCTGAGTTGTCATGCATAGTTGCCTGGTGCCTCCCTCATTCACATGGGTGTCAACCAAAGTGGAGTCACTCGGGAGGAAATCAGGACTAGTGCGAACCGAATCAGACCCATCATGTTATCATAGCATCTTTCGTCTAGGCATACGGCAGAGCCACACTTTCAAAAGTCACTAAATGCCAAACAGTTGGTCTTGGTACCTGGGGCTGGCCTGCTACAGGGTGGCCCCGGCCACTCCTTCCATAGAATCCTGGCCCTTTAAAGATCACCCTCTGGCCTCGCGGGCTGAACTCCATTGCATAGCGCTGAGATCCTGTAGAAGGACCCTCCCATCCTGGTTGTAGTGGCTCAGAAGAGTGCCACCTACTGACAAGCCAGCACCACTTCCTCTAGCACCCAAAGGGATTGTTTTCTGGAAGGTCGCCAATTCAAATACTGACCGAGGCCAGATGCTGCTTAAAGGTCTGACAAGGCCACGGTGGCAAGGAGAGTCAGCTGCTTCTGAGGAGTGTGCTCACTTGTCCTGTCCATGGACAGGAAAGGAAATGATACTGGGATAGGGAGATAAATAGCTGCTCAGCTTGGCTCAGCGTCAAGGCTGCATCCTGGGCAGCCAGACCTAGCAGTCAGAGCCAGAGTCCACTGTCAGCAGTCAAGAGTCAGCTGGGTCAGGCAGGAGCCAAACCAGAGATCAGAACCGCAAGTCAGAGGTCAGGAGCCTTGTCAGGTCAGGACGCCTGGAAATCAAGCTGCGGGAGCAGAAGCAGGAGGCACCAGGTACATAGTCCAGAGCAGGGTAAATCTGGGGTGTTTGGACAGCTTCCTGTTGCTGGCTTAAATAGGGCTGACGGGCCAACTGGCTGCTAACAGGACGTAAGAGGCGGAGCCTCAAACTGGAGCTGGGCTTCATGCATCCTGGATCAGCAGGCTGCCAAGTGGAGGGCTGACATATGGCTACTCCTCTGGCCCCGGGTTTGAGGCCCGTGAGTCATGACAGTCAGAAAGATGAAATAAGTGAGGAGCATCCATCTCCCCTGACTCAGGAGGATCTAATGGCCCATGGCCACCTTCTGCCATGAAAAGGAAACAAGTTATATACATCCATCCACTAAATGAAATACTCAGCCCTCCTCTGCTGTGGGACAGAACTATCCTCTAGGTCTCCCCAGGCATTCTGAGTCTAATTAGCATCCACTGGCTTAGACTGTCAGTTCCTTGGAGCTTGTCTTGTACAAGGTCACTTCACACCACTCCAGCAGCACACAGGGGCCTCAGTGTAAATGGGGCTCAGGCTTTGTGTGTGCTCAGCTAATAAGGATCTGGATGCAAATCCCACATTTTGGATGAATATATTATAGGCCAGCTTCCCAGCTGGTGTAAATCAGGGTAGCTCTGTTGATGTCAATGGAGCTGTAGCAATTGACACCAACTGAGGATCTGGGTCTGTGTTTGGACTGACATATTATTTTGATCTTGAAATATTGGGGAGGAACAAACCCTGGGGAAATGAATTCGCAGGAGGCAAAACATGACACTGTTGAGAATGTTACAAGCAAATATCCCTTAGGGGACTAAAAAAAGTCCTCCACTCTTCTACAGCAATGGTCCATAAACCACTAGTTTGCACTAGCGACCCTGCAGTGCTTCGGGCTATCACTGCAGAGTAGTGTAGTCATTTATAACAGCAGGGTCAGAGTTAATCATTTGATTCAGACAGAGCAAGATTCAGCTGCTGTCATTTCCTACTTCAGATCCCAGTGGGATTAGACAGAAACGTAGTCTTTGAGAGAGGAGGGGGAAAAGGTCAGTCATTTGTCATCATTCATTCTATTTACTCTTGCAGAATCCTTTCAAGTTGTGGTCAGAGGCAACGGCTTTTATCACGCAAGAAACATCGATCAAGTTCTCTGCAGCTTCAAGATCAATGACACCATAACAATCAGTAAGTTGATGGGCTGGAGATTTTATGCCCTAAATTGCGCAAGGATCCCGACCCAGCTCCTCTGAGTCAATGCGAGTCTTTGCATGGACTTTGGTGGGCGTTCTTTAGGGCCCTAGTCCCATATTATGGGTCAAATCCCAAGATCTGGGAATCACTTAAGTCATACTCTGAAGGTAGTGCCTAGGCTTTGTGCTGGGTCTTTCATCCTCACTGCAAGAGTGGAGATGGTTTGACTTGCTGTCCACACAGATACAGCCTGTCTGGTACTGTGGGGGGAGACGTGAAATTGCCCGCCACTCTCGTGTCCATTAATAACACAGACTGATGCTGTCCTGATCCAGGGATGCTGTGCTCAGACACACGTCAGTTTCACTGGCTCAGGAGGGAGTGACCAAGTGTCCCTCTGTGAAATGAGTTTGTCTAAAGTATCATAACACAAAACCCAGCACAACTGTGCTAAATTGGGCCCCTTGTGGGCAGTCTCAGCATGTAAACTAAGGCTCGAATGGGGCAAAGAGATGCCCCTCTCCCCACCATGTCTGAGAGCTGCTCCTCTCTCAGCCCCAGATGAGTAGGGTGTGGCACGCTGGCCAAGGGACGGTGTGGGGAAACTCACACAGCTGCTGCTTCTGGGGCTCACCCTCCCCTGTGGACAGTATTTGGCCTCCAGGATTGGTATAGACTGGCACCCCATGTTAGCCCTAAAATCACACTGGGTGGGAGCTCCCCTGGGGCCAGTGGTTGGGCTTCTTTCTAGCCAAACCTGGTTCCCCTGGGTCTCTCTCTGGCCATACACCTCAGCTGCTCCCTGCGCCCCTCTCCTAGTTTTAAGCTGAGGCTGTGTCTGGGCCTGCTGTGCACCTGCAGACAGCAGTACCAAGCCACCTTTTGCAGGCTCCGCCCAGCCCAGCAAGCCCTCTTCAAGGGTATACCTGAGCCAGCTGGCGCACAGCAGACCAGGTGGCCTGTAGCCAATCATCTGTCTTCACTTGGGTTGGCTGACCTACCCTCGGTGGAGTGACACTCCCGCCCTCCAATGGGGAGCTTCAGGGAGTGCCAGATCACTCATCAGCTGCAAAGGAGGAGAGGATAGCTGCTCTCCTCTGGCCATCCTCTCACCAGTCAGTGCCGAGGGGGCAGAGCTGGCCCCATCACGGGCATGCTTTGCATGTGGAGTGGGGGCTCCAGACACAGAGCCACCAAAACATGGAACTGGTATCCTTATTCTGCTGCATCTACCATTGCACACACCCACTGGGTGGTCACTGTAGGGCGGTGGCTGGAGACTTCTCTCTGACAGCATGGGACTCCTCAGAGTGGTACTGGGCTAGAAAACAAGAGGATTTGATTTGGAGGGGGCAGTTAGATGGACTTTGCAAGCAGACAAGATGCTCAATAGAGAGACGAGGGAGGTGAGGTCACATCTTTTATTGGACCAACTTCTGCTGGTGAGAGAAACAGTCAAGAGATTGTCAGTAAAAGATGTGCCCTCACCCACTTTGTCCCTCTAATATCCTGGGACCAGCCCAACTACAACAGCACAGTGTCCAGTATATACAATACTAAGCCAAACATTTAGGTGACCTTTGAATGGTTTGAGCTGTCTGTCTGACCTGAGGGTGGCCTTTGAATGGTTTGAGCTGGGCGATGTCACAGCTGGATGTCACAGCTGTGACAAGGAATGACAGGTAAGACAGCCCCTAAAGACAAGGACCAGCTCTGAGCCATGTCCACACTGGGCCTGATCTGGCATCTGCAGTTCTCACTGACGTCAACAGCAGCCCTCCGGGTTGAGCCCGTTCGGGAGACACTGCTCTTGCCGTACGTTACAGTCTGTCTTGTTTCCTTTTAGATGAAAAACCGACTATTGTTCAAGACACCTATTTGCTTTGCCCTGCACCAGTAATAGAAGACATTGGACAGTAAGTACGGCTCTGCAGCCTGGGCTGAAGGGGAGGGGGCCTTGGCGGTGGGATCAATAGGCATTTTGCCTAAAAAGGACTAAGCAAGGAGGTCAGGCGTGTGCAGCTTTTCAGAAGTTCACTGGCAGGTTCAGCGCCATCCTGATGGACCAGACCCTCCCCTGGGGCGTCAGCATGGCTCCGTTCAAGGCTGAGCACACTTCAGCGTGGGGCTCCTGCCCCCATTTGAAGTGGTGGTGGGAGGGGCTGCAGCCTGCCCTCCGGCCTATATTCCCTAACTTGCCAGTGCACTTAGTCGTCATGATGCCTCCTTGAGGAGCTGGGCCCTGCAGTGCATCATGCAGGAGGGACAGGGATCAGACTGTGCGATGCTTCACCCAAACACATGGGCAGAGCATTGCATCTGGGTCCGCTGGTAAAAAGAGAGTCAAAACCAACATATCGGGTGTCACGGATCCACAGGGTCAGTGCTGCGGCCCCAGCTTTGGAACAGTCAGTGGGAGGAGCCCTGCAGTGTGCCAGACCCTCTAGGGGTCTCACTCTTCCCCCAGGGTAAGCCACGCAGCTTCACCGCCTCCTTAGATGGGACCTCTGGGCCTTCAGCACTCCTGCTTCACACCAGGAGCTCAGCGAGTCCCACTGGGACAGACCCCTGAGGAAGACTTGTGCAGTCTTAGGGAGCAACGCACCTCCTCTGCTAGCACCTGCAGGGACATATCCAGCGTTGTTACACTGCCGGGTTTATTAGTCGGCTGGAATGCACATAGGAAGGCCTTGGTTAGCACAGAGGAATGAAGGTTAAAGCACAGTCCAGAGTCCAGCCAAGCTGCAGTGAACCCCACTGTTCAAGCTGTCTCCCCGTCTGTCTGACATGTGTGCCCCCGGAGCCAACGCTTAATGTCCACCTCATCCCCTGCTCCCCCCAGTCCTTTCTTCCTGACCTGAGGAGAGGCGGCTCAGGCCTCCCTGCTGAGAGGTGGGGCAGTCCATATCTCTCTGGGCCATTGGTTGCTAGGTGCCCATGTCTGGGCAATTGGCTTTTCCATTGTCTTCTCAAGAGCTCCATTGATATGGGACGTGAGGCATAGACAGCTAGGGCCTATTCCTGCCTACGTCTTAGCCTGATCTGAGAGCAAACATGCCCTTTTCACCCACTAGGTAGCAATGCCGCATATAGGGGAAACTGAGACACACATATTCTTCATACAAATATTCCAAAAAAATTCCCGCTTCGTCACATTGGGTTTGAAAGTTACGGCTTCCACATCAACCCTACCATAATCGGTTGCACCACATTTCCATCACCACACACAACTTCCCGCTGTTCATGGGCATGCGGAATAGTATGGATGCATGAGGGGGCTGAATTTCTGGGCATCCTTCTGCTCTCATGTACATTGGTGTAAATCAGGAGTAATGAATGAAGTCTTGCACTAGTGTGGAATCTGTGCCGTGGGGCGTAGAATAGTTGCATTCAGGAGCTTGGATCAGTGCCTCGTAGTGAGTTTCACCAGGGCAAAGAGTGGGTGTGAAATGCAGCCATTCTTACCTGGTGGCATGTTACATCCACTCTGCTTAGGCAGAAAGGACTACACAGGGTGCAGGGCAAGGGGGGGTTTGAGCCCTTTGATCCTTTTTGTGCATTGTAAATAAAATCCCTACAAATTCACACCAGCCTAACTGAGGACAGAATCTGGCCCTCTGACTACACTGGCAAACGGCCACATTCTCCTCCGTGCAATGCGATTGATGGTAGTGGTGCTGCACCAAGAGATGTGAGTTCCAAGTCATCTGAGCAGGATGCAAAGCTGCAGATCTCAGAGGTTCGCTTTGTAGGGACCTGTACAGACTTTTCCTTCAGCTTTTCTTTGGGTTGGTTCAAAAGAAATCCGAAAGCAGAAAACTCCCAAGTATTATTTGGTTTGACTCTGCAACTGCAAATTACACAAGGTACCACGGGAACCACGTAAATTTGTCCATGTCTGTGAACCTTTAAGCGCATTCTGGCCTAGGCTTCAAATTTGCAGCAAAGCTGGCGCTAGGCAAACTTTATGTGGTTTCAGGTTTCATCTCCCGGAGCTGTAGTCAGGTATTTCGTCTGTCTTCCTGCTTCATGGGAGGTTCAATTTAATTCTCCCTAAACAATCTCTGGTAGCCGAGAGACTAGTCTGTGTAAACAAGACTACTGAGCAGAGAAGGAGGAATTGCTTTAAGTGTTGAGTATGTGCTCCATCAATTTTGAATATCGGCAATTCGGAATGTCAACTGAATGTATGTGATGTCCCCTCCTCCCTGCATTTTGCATCTAACTCTAGAGTGGATTGAGATTGTATTGAATTTCAAGCAAATTTCAAATTTTGACACCCCTCCCCCCAAAAAAAGAGGGGGGATGGATTTCAAGTGTCTTTATTTATGAATCAAATTTAGTTTCCTGTGTTTGGATCTTCTCTGCTCTCACCAATGATGGTGACTCCTCCACCCACCTCAGCAACTTCTTTCGTGACCCAACCCCCTGTTAAAGTTAAAGGGTTGAGTTGTGCCCCATTTTATCCCCCTGCAATCCCATTGGGTGCTCAGATACTATAGTGGGGGTGGGTAGATAAGTATTTAGATAGCTAGGTGGGGTTTAAGCCAGAGCAGAATTAGACTCTTAGGGACAGGTGCTAAACTGGTGTACGCCAATGACAATGTACACCAGCTGAGAACATGCCGTCTAACCTAAGGCTAGATTCTGCTTACAGCTACCCTGGCGTAAATCCAGAGGAGGTCTGTTAATTTCAGTGGCGATGCTCAGGGTTCATCCCTGTGAAAAGGAAAGCCCAGTGTGACCCCACAGTATTCCCTGCTGCAGCTTAAACCTGTAGCTTCCCGTTTTAGCACAGGTCGTATTGCAAATATCTGAGCCGTAGCATTCTAAGTCACTGAACTAGTGCCCTGTACCCCCAGGGAAAATGGAGTCTATTAATAAAGAACATATGCCCCAACTCAATTTAGCCAACGTAGCAATGTTGGCTTTTGGCCAAGCGAACAGTCAGATGCAGGTGAGCACCTGCAGTCACATAACTGCATTGACCAGGCAGGACATGTGTTCAGGAGCCAATGGCCAGGAAGAAGGGGAACAGTGGGTATAAAGATGACACTAAAAATAAATGTATCTGTTTTGTGCTTTAGGGTGGTTTTCCTCCAAGTCAGCATGAACAACGGGCTAACATTCATCTCCAGCTCTGTCAGCATCACCAGCACACAGTGTGTAAGTATGGGATGGAGCCACCTTGAGAAGAAAGGGTTGCTCTCCGGGGAAGGCCTCTTCTCCATCGCGATTGCAGAGCCGATCCCAGCAGCACACTAAAAAGCAGCGAGGGCTGGCTGAGAGCAGTTCATGAGTGATTGCAACCCATGCATGGATCGCGACTGATTCATAAGTGCAAGAATATCCTCCCAGGAAAGAGAGAGAACTGCCGGTCTCAGACTGGGTCTGGGAGGGACCCATGGACCCCCCAGAGGAAGCCAACCCCCCAGAAAGTATTGGCAGTCCACCAGTATTCTTCTTCTGTTCCCCTGTCTCATTCCCATTCATTAGGGGGTGGTGTTTGCCACTGGAATGGGGTGAGGGTTGGCCTTCCTGGCATGGGGAGGACCATAAAGGGACAATAGCCCCAAGTGCTGGGATGAGCTTTTCCTGGAGGGGTTGTTCTGTCACCCAGCCAAGGGAGAGCTTTCTGTGCCGCTGATACTGATGGGAGACGGGGAGAGAAAGGACTGGGCTATGCGGCGGCTCCGTGGCTGGCATCTGTCTGCCATGGGGGAGCAGGACAGGAGTCAAGAGCCCCAGATGACCTTTTAGGGAAGATTAACTTTAGAAGCAATCAAATAATCCAAGCTAAGAAGCCAACTATGATGAGTGATCTGCTCACTGCACCTCAGGGGAGAGAATAGCCCACATCCCCAGCTGGCATAAATCAGCAGAGAGGCAGTGGACCTACATCAGTTTACACTAGCTGAGGATCAGTACCCATGAGTTGAAGTGACAGGAGGTTTGCCATAATAGCTGGATACCAAGCATTTCACACCCAGGTCATGGGTGTCAAGGTGAGCTTAGTTCTGGTCAGTGTCCGTGCTGCCTAAAGGCTATTGGAAGGGGTTGATGGTCTCAGGCTATGTCACAAAGCTGTCATAGAATCATAGAATATCAGGGTTGGAAGGGACCTCAGGAGGTCATCTAGTCCAACCCCCTGCTCAAAGCAGGACCAATCCCCAATTTTTGCCCCAGATCCCAAATGGCCCCCTCAAGGATTGAACTCACAACCCTGGGTTTAGCAGGCCAATGCTCAAACCACTGAGCTATCCCTCCCCCTTAAATCCTAAATCCACATTAAGCAGTGGTAAGATCATAGAATATCAGGGTTGGAAGGGACCTCAGGAGGTCATCTAGTCCAAACCCCTGCTCAAAGCAGGACCGATCCCCAATTTTTGGCCCAGATCCCTAAATGGCCCCCTCAAGGATTGAACTCACAACCCTGGGTTTAGCAGGCCAATGCTCAAACCACCGAGCTATCCCTCCCCCCAGAATACCAGAATACCATCACACATGGTGTGCCTTCATTGGGCCCCTTTGTGGCAGCGTCAGCGAAGAGGCCATGGAAGGAATGGGTCCCGAAATCCACATGGCTGAGGTGTCTGACTTTTTCAGCTACCACGCTGGGAAATTTAATCCCAGAGCTGTGGGAAAGTCACAGGGTTTAGTCACTTGGAATTGAGCAGGGATATTTTTGCTGTTTCACCTGGTTTCAAAACCCCCTCCAAACTTGGCAAGAATTGCAATGAGATAGGGATTTGACACCCGGACAGCATGCATTTTACACCCACGTCCCCTTCAAAGCCATCCCAGGCTGCTGCAGCAAAAGCTTTTGCAATGATAGGCCCGGTTTTGGGTCAGTAACGGACCGTGAATTTTAACTCGCTGTGTATTTGGTTACCGGTGCTTCACGCGCTTCTAATGGAGATTGAACTCTTAGCTCTAGCGGGGGTCCCTGCAGGTCAGAGCTCAGCCAGGCTGCTGGGGAAGGCATGCATTGCCATTGCCTCGGGGTAAACAGAGGACTGCAATCTCCAAGGCTGTCAATCTGGCACTTTTCACCAGCCCTTCAAGTCACTTGTAGCTTCAAAACAAGCAAGAACAGGGGTCCGATTCTCAGCTGATGTGCAGCAGCCTAGCTCCATTGAAATCAGATCGCACCGCTGAGGGTCTGGCCCACTCTCTGCAAATACGTTTTCAGGCTTGTGCGGAATCTCATGCATTCAGGTCTTTCTTTATCGTTTTAGAGGATCCTTCCGTTTCCTTTCTCTCCTGTTTCCTTTGCTGTGAACAGCAGCAAGCTGGCCTCCTCGGCCCTCATTCTCAGACGGTTCCTCTGTCCTTTTCTGTACAGTAAGTGTCTTTTCTTCCCCTTCCTCCTGAGGTTTCCTCTCCGGCCCCTCCACCAACCTATTTCCAGTCTTATCTTACCGATTTCCTAACCATCTTATCTGATTGGCTCCTAGCCCCTCCTCCATTTCACTCCCAGGTTTTGCATCTTTTCAGCTGGCTGGCCCTGTTACCTTCGTGACACTGAGATCATCCAACACAAACTTTGACATAATATAACTGACTTTGAGAAGGTTTCCATTAGCATGGATAATAGGATCATGAGGGCAGCTGGGCTAAAGGTTTACTGCTAGCTCTTACCATCACCAGCTGGCCTGATGCAGCCCAGGGAAACTACAGATCCCATCATGCAACATTCCACCTTGTAGCAAGGGTTGCTTTTTGTAGAAAAGGCTCTTCGTTCCTTGAAGAGGTTGTGTTGGGCTGCAGGCTGTGCACAGGGGCCTGTGTGGTGTCACTTAGGGTGAGTGTTTTATTACAGAAAATCTGCAGAGGGATACAGCTAGTGATTGGTTTCGCAAGACTTTCCAGATTAACTCATGAAGACCAGGATTTTCAGAAGGGCTCAGAACTCACATCCAAAGAGCTCGGCTCGGATATAGCCACCAAACCAACGGCTGTTTTTTCAGAAGAGCTCCGTGGCTTTGGGTGCATGTCTGCTTTGAAAATCTGGTCACAAGTTTCACAGTGAGAGCCTCTGGGTGTTGGGTGCTTTTCAAATTGTAGCCCCAGGTATGGGTGCTGAGCACTTGACAATGTGGCATTAAATGCCAACCAGGCTAGAACATTGTCTACACCAGGAAGCAGTTTGAATACAAGAGGCAAGAACTTAAAGTCTTTGTTCCAAACATTGGCATAGTATGGATGTCAGACATGTCACCTGCACCTAATTTATTGCCCCATGAATGAGAGTATTGTAGCAAAATGGCCCATTAGCACAGTTAAGGGATCGGAAGATACAGTCAGTCATGGCTCGCTGCATGCCTGAGTATCCATAGCAAGATCCTGCAGTCAGAAATCAGGCAAAACGCCCCACCACAGACACTGGGGAATGTTGTCTTCAGGATCACATCCTTAGGTTCCAATTCAGCAAAGCACTTACCCACGTGCTCAAATGCCATTGAAGCCAAAGAGACACAAGCATGTGCATAAATGCCCTTGCTGAACAGGGATGCGATCCTGTATCAGGGCTTGAAATATTAACTCTTGTCCCTGAGCGTAGAATCCAGTCCCAATGACAATAATGATAAATTCTCTATTCTTTGTATAATCTGATTAAAACCTTTAGTGAAGCAAACCAGCTCCTTTTCTCCAGGTCTAACAGCGCAGCCTTTGGGTCTCCTGCCGGTGTTAGCCTGCCAAGCTTGTGCCATATTAAGGTAACCTGGAAACAACTGTCTTGTTTGCAGCTCAGTGGGACGATCCTTTTCATCGCACTCTTAATTCTGTTCCTGTTGCTGGCCTTGGCGCTGCTTTGGTGGTTCTGGCCTCTGTGCTGCACGGTGGTGAGTATGGCCTTTGATCTTTGTGGCTTAGTTTCCTCTGCTGTCTGACGGAAGCTGGAGTTAAAAGCCTGGAGAGATGTTCAATAGACAACGAGAGGAGCAGACACGAATCTTCATCTTAGGATATAAACTGATCTATCTGTATGGCCCTGATTCAGCAAAGCACGTAAACCTGTGCCTTCTCCCATTGACTCCAATGGGACTCACGGACACGCGGAAAGTTAAGCAGGTGATGAAGAGCTTTGCTGAATCCGAAGTGAGGCAGCAGGGTCGGTTTGTTAGAGTACAGGACTAGGAACTGGAAGATGTGAATTGCATCTGCAGCTCTGCCACCAAGCTGCAGGGTGACGTGGGCAAGTCGCTTCCTCTCTCCGTGCCTCCATGTCCCACCTGCACGGAATGGGGTTAAAGATACTGGTTTTCTTTGTAGAGTGCTGTGAGATCTAGGGATGGAAAGCGCTAGCTATGATGAGGATGCGTGTGTGTATGCTCTTACTTTCATTGGAAATGCATTTCATATGATTGACATTTCAACTCATGGGTTAATGTTTCGCCGTAGTGTTGGACTCAAATGACCCGTACAGGTTAAGGGAAAGTTTGAACTCACAAAATCTGAGCCTATGTTATGGGCGATTCAATCTGGTGTATAAGCATTGGTGACTCATCTACTCCAGTTTCACCCCAGTGCCACTGCACTGGCTTCAGTGCCATTATTCCTGACCGCTGGCCCAGGGGAAGCGAGAAGCAAGTCAGGCCCAGTAACGTGCCAGTCTAGATGGACAGGGCTGGCTGGTGGTAGCTCAGTTCATCAGCAGGCAGGAGAATCCCTGCAATCCCGTCTCTACCAGCTGTCGGAGATCACACATACCACACTGCATGCCAGCCATTGTCCCAAAGGAAAGGTGCCAGCCATCCTGTTCTGCCAGCTGTCTCCTGCCCACTGATCCATTCAGTGGCACGAAAGGTCACTGTCCAGGGAGCCAGCGCAGCCTGCTGAATGCTGTGGCATCGCTGCTGGGAGAGAGAGGGCGACCCTCGATCCAAAAATGGGCACGCACCTAAAATTAGGCTTGGCAGAATTCAGGTTTTATTTTTATCACGACAATGGATATCGATGTTTATTTTTAAGCTTTTATTTTTATCAATTTAACTTTTCACCCTTGCAGGGAACTTTTCACAGTTGGGGGGCAGACAATGGTGTGTGGGGGGGGAGGCAAACAATGGGCAGGGGCCGGACAATAACCCGTTAATGACAGTTCACATTGAGATTCAAATCGTTAAAGGTTTATAACCGCTAAAGCACAACTTGTCAACATCACAAGTCAAAATATACAAAGTAAATATCCTTAAATCAAACTCTCCGGCAGCATTGTTCTCACTTTGTCTATCTGTACATTTCAATGATTATCAATGGAAATATTTTTTCACCGGTTTGTGTGCGCGCAGTGAAACCGACGTTTACTGATAAAATTCAATCCTTCTGCACCGACCTGTAATGTGAGCCTAGGGGAAAGAGAAGGACCAAGTCCAGGGGGACAGAGGCAGTGACAGGGATATAAGGTGTACCTTTAACTCTGATTCTTTCCATTGCCTGCATGTCGTAGGTCATCAAGGAGCCTCCGCCACCACCGCCCCCAGAGCCTGTAAGTATTTTATTTTTCAAACCATAATACTACTGTCTGCAGCCACTGCAATGTAACACATTGCCTAGGAACTTGGTGGGATTCATAATGTCAACTCTGAGGCTGTGAGAGAATGTCTCCTGGGATAGGGTTAACCGTGCCTTCAGGTCCATATATATGCACACAGATGCTCTTCATCCATGGAAAAATACCTGCATAACCCCGAGCGAGATGCCTACAGAATCACTTTTTTGGTCAGACCGATATTTTGATCCATGCTGCTGAGCATCACGCACGAATGAAAAACCATATTCCCAGACGCTGTGCTCAGTGCTGCAGCCTGGCTCAGGCAAAATTGTCATTGTTCTCAACGGGAATTTAACCTGAGGAAGGAGTAAAGGTTAGAGTCCATCATCAGGTACAAGGCAGTGTGGAGGCTGTTGTCTAGAGGATAGGTCACTGGGCCAGGACTCGGGAGACCTAGAGATTGTGTGCCTGGTTCTGCTACTGATGTCACTTCGTCTCTCACTCTTTGTGTGTTTCGATTGGAAGCTCTTTAGTGCAGGGTTGTGCCTCGCTGGGTGTGTGCACAATGGGACCCTGATCTCAGGTGAGGGGGAGCGTCCTGCCTGTTTCCACTCCTTACATGCACACACAGAGTTAATCCGTGGCAAAAATAACTGCCTAACCCACACAAGCAGGCTGCAGTTGGCTGCTAACTTGCTGTAACTTGGCATCCATCTGAGGAGGGAACCACAGCTGCCATTTTGAAGTTGCCAAAGGCCACCATTACTGTCTTTGGGAGCCTGTGATTTGTCCCGAGCAGCAACTCTGTGGCAATTTAACGTGAAGCCTGGGGTGGGGGAGGAGGTTCTGTGGAGAGACGTTGCTGAGCCCTTCTCTGTGTCATATGCATTCTGTGCACCAGCAGGTGTGGGGATCAGACCTTCAGCTGGTAGAAATTGGCCCAGCTCCACTGAAATCAGTTCAATGCTCCGCAGGTGGAGTAAATTGAATTGGAGGCAATGAAGCTCCACTAATGTACCTCAGCTGAGGACCCTGCAACATGTCTCCCGGGATGTCAGTGCAGGATCATTCACCAGCACTGAATTAGGTTAAGCAAGGAAAGAACTATGGCTCTGAAAGAAAACCAAGATCTGGACTTCTTCACATTTTGGGTTTGCTAAAAAACCAGCTCAAATCTTTATAATGGGCCAGATCAAACACCCCAGATCCAAGCCCCCCAAAGGTACAAAATCCAGTGCCTGATCTGAATGGTTGCAGCCTGAGCCCATTGCTGCAAAGAACCAAACAGGGCAGAGGAGCTAGGTACAGCTGCAAGGAAAGAATGCTCCGACGTGCATGTTAGTGAGCTCACAGGGATTGCCTTTTCTCCTGTTAGCAACATACTGTTCTCAAAGCACAGCTAGGAAAGGGTTTCATTTGGCGAAGTGTTGGACATAGTCTATGGAACATAGCAGCAAGGCCAGTATAATGTGCAATTCATCTCCACTGTGCCTTCTACCCCCTTAAAAGGCAGTTGTGATTTTTGAAGCTTTATGCATATTTGACCATATATAAAAGCAGCCTGAAGAGACAAGAAGAAGGGAACAGACAGTCGGCTTTGACTTCTCTAGGAAAAATTGCAGCTGCAGAGACAAGAGGCTTTTGTTTGCTGTCAGCACATAAATATAACATACAAAGCCACATAGCCAGGGATAGGGCTGTAGGATGTTCGCTTGTTTACATCCCATGCTGTGTGCATGAAAACAACAGAGATCACTCTCCTTCTTTCCCGCAGGAATCGGATGATGAAGATGGATTGCCAAAGAAAAAGTGGCCAACCGTGGATGCATCTTATTACGGAGGCAGAGGTGTTGGTGGAATTAAGAGGATGGAGGTATCAGGCGCTTTCGTTTCCTGCGTCGCAGTAAACAATCAGAACCTTTTTAATTGAAAACCACGGCAAGATGTTTTAAAATGCTTTTTACAGAGTTATCATGATGGAATAGGGAGGCTGTTTTTTAATTAGGACCCATCTACCTAATCACACCTGCCAGCCCAGGAATCAGCTATCAAGCTGCCATCGTTTGCATCGTGCAATTAATTGTGTCTGGAAGTATTAGTGAGTGCAAATTTGCAGATTGAGGAATGGGATGAGGACCAAACACTTTCACTTTATTGGATCAGATCCTCAGCTGGTGTAAATGGGTCTCACCCTATAACTTCAGTGGAGTGAGGCCAATGTATACCAGCTGAGGGTCTAGCACTAATTGGCCAAATTGAATAGAAGTGATTGCTTCTTAGCCCCAGAGGTTGGGATTTTACAATCAGGCACTGAAACCTGATGCACTATCAGTTTGGCATGGGAGATTCTGACTCTTGAAACCAAGTGGCTAAGCAGCTGCATAGGGTAAATCCTGCCCTGGGATGCATTCATACAGCTCCCATTGAGGTCAGTTGGAACCCAAGAGAGAAGCATAAAACTATAGGGTTAGAAGGGACTGCAAGTATCATCTAGTCTAACCCTCTGCTAAGATGCAGGATTTGTTGTGTCTAAACCACCCAGGACAGATGGCTATCCAGCCTCCTTTTGAAAACTTTCAGTGAAGGAGCTTCCATGACCTCCCTAGGCATTTGTTCCACTGGCCGACTGTTCTTACAGTTAGGAAGTTTTTCCTGAGATTTTAAAAAGGTAGTCTTCTATTATTGATATGAATTGAAATGTATTATTAGGGGAAATCCAGCCCTCTCCTACGCAGCTATGGAGAGTCCTTTGCTGAAGAACATAGTGTAGTGAACTAGGACTAACTGCCCACCAAGCCTGAGAGCCACTGCTCAAAAGAACCCTTCAGGGCTTTTCCTCCTTCCTGGATACTTTTGTCACCTCTGAGTTGGAGGGCTGCAGTGCCCTCTTCTTGGGGCTATTGGTGGAGAGCACCCAGGAACGTTAGCTACTCCCCTGCCATGGGAGACCATTCGTGGCGTGTGTGTTGCCAGAAGATGCAGACTCTAGCAGATTGCTGCTGGGCTGTTTTCAGTGGAGGATCTTTGACTTTGGAACCTTGATAGACCATGTCTGATGACCTTCAGGGTCCAGTGCAACATGCATCTGACTACCCTGGGTTTTTCCCAAGTAAAGATTTGGATGGGAGGTGCCTGCTGGCTAAAGAGCTGGCTGGGAAATTGGGTGGGGAATTGATTTTTTGGAGTTTCCTCTTTACAGTGATGGTTCGTTCGGGGATTTTCCTTCTTCATTAGTTGGTGGCTGTATGTCATGATGGATTGTTCTGACAGTAATTTTGCTTTCAAGGAGGTCACTTCTCCCAGAGGCGTGAGCGATTGGTGCGTGTTTCACAGACACTGAGAGGAACTAGATTAAATAGTAGAAGTGTCTAGTTAAGACGTGTGTCAGCACTGCTCACCAAAACCTCTGTGTCCACGATGTGCTCTTACCACTTCAGGTGAGGTGGGGAGACAAAGGGTCAACGGAGGAAGGGGCCAAATTAGAGAAGCCCAAAAATGCCGTCATCACATTGCCAGAGCAAGAGTATGAGCCATGGGAGCCCAAGCCGAAGAAACACAATGTGAGGAAGCCACCTTCCCAAAGGAAATGGTACACTCCAATCAAGGTAACGCATCTGCACGTCAGCTTTAAAATGTGGGTCATTTATGCCAGGCATGTTACCAAGGACAGGTTCCTGAGCACATTTCTCATGGTTAGCCGTGGGGTGGGAGAACTATTGTAGGGGTCACCATTTCTGGGACTAGACATCTCACCAGGCAGCAAAGGCTTGGGAACTTCTTTCACCTGTTTTCCTGTCCCTCTGCACTGATTGGATTCCATCAGAAAATCCCAGGATCTGTTCTCAGTACAGCACCGGCTCGGTGATGCACACCCAAGAGGGACAGACGATGTAGAGGAGGTGGGAAGGATGGCCGTGTAGTTACGGCCCTGGACTGGGACTCATGGATTTCAGCTCTCGTCTCACCCAGCTGTGCCAAAGACGCAGTGTGCACCTTGGCAAAGCCAGTTAGGGTCAAGTTTTTAAAGGTCTTCAGGCGCCTAACGGTGCAGAAAGATACCTAGAAGGCTTTTCAAAAGTGCCACTGAAATCAGTGGGAGTCAGGTGCCTGTCTGCATCTCTAGGTCTCTAAACACTTTAAAAATCTTAACCTGTCTCAGTTGATGCTGCTGCTGATAATGCATCTTTATCTCCCAGGGTTGGTTCACCGATGTTCGTGTCATACACTGAAATCCTCGATGGGAGCAGCCAGTGAAGTTCAAAGTGTTATGAAAATTGACTAAGCGATCCGTCTTTTGGATGCTTATCTATGCCAAGTCTGCTCTCTTCTGCTTTATGGGGCCACCCATCATTGGACTTCCCACAAGCTTCTTTGGTTCTTCAAGTCTTTTCTTAACGCTGTCTAACCCCGTTCACCTAACTGCACCTGCTGATCTATGTTAACTGTTCATAGTAAGCCAGATGCATCCTTAATGTGACTCCAGTCGGATGGATTTGTTCCATTATGTGCAATGGCTGGTTCCCCTAGGCACTCAGTATTACAGTGATGGGCATGCTATAAATACACAGACAGATAATAATGAGTATACAAAGAGCAGCGGCCTCCGGGCCAGCCTGTGTGCCGACGGTTAAACACACAGTAATATCACAGCAAGTCGACTGTCGTTTAATTTCACATTGTTCTCTCAAGCATTGTTGGTCATGTCACGTATGTTTGATTCCAGGGCAAACTTGATGCGTTGTGGGCTCTGGTTCGTCGAGGCTACGATCAAGTCTCTCTTATGAGACCACAGCCAGGGGATAAGGTAAGTTGTCATGGACGCACTGTCATGTCGATTCTTTGTGGTCGGCAGTAATGCTCATTTTTTCCCTCTTCTTGAGAGCTTGTCTCTCTCTGGATTACCCTGAGGCTAAAATCCATCACTAGATCCTGAGGTTTAACAATGAGCTAAAATGTTTGCAGTGGCATCTGTTTAAAAGCATTGCCCCTAATGGTCAATCACTGTCTCTCTGGTGCTGTCCTTTGATCAGACACACTTAGAGACTAGGTCATTTGAAGATGCCGATTCATCTCTTGACTGATGTTACTTCTCCATGATGCGTTTCTTGCCTTTACTTCTGTAAGCAGAGATGCACTGGAATTAGCGGTTGGGTTTCTTCATTTGTGCACTCGAATAGATTCTTGTGTTCTAGTTTCATATAGAATAGTAAGCGTTAATAGATATTGGATCCTGCATACCAACGGCTCACAAAATGTTTTACTCATTCAATAGCAGAATTAAATGACAGGTAAGAGAAATCATAAATCACGCAGGGTCCCATCCTTCTGGGAAAATTCCCTGGAATTGAACAGAGAATAACGTTCCTGTGGGATTCTAGTGCAGGGCTATAATCTGCACACAATCCATACGTGGGCTTTAACATTCTAGAGAGAGGATCTCCTGCTTTATTCAGTTCCATGGGCCAGATCCTCAGCGGGTGTGAATCACAGGTATGCCAATATGCACCAGCAGAAGATCTGGCACTGTAGGATCTATAGAGTGTAATTTCTGAAGGACCCTGTTGGTTTCACCCCTGTTACATTCTGTAGGACTTTTCCATAAGGCAAGCACTCCTCTGCAGGAATGATCCACACAGGGGATGTTAGGTTTCAGAGTAGCAGCCATGTTAGTCTGTATTCGCAAAAAGAAAAGGAGTACTTGTGGCACCTTAGAGACTAACAAATTTATTTGAGCATAAGCTTTCGTGAGCTACAGCTCACTTCATCGGATGCATTCAGTGGAAAATACAGTGGGGAGATTTATATACATAGAGAACATGAAACAATGGGTGTTACCATACACACTGTAACGAGAGTGATCACTTAAGGTGAGCTATTACCAGCAGGAGAGCGGGGGGGAAAAAACTTTTGTAGTGATAATCAAGGTGGGCCATTTCCAGCAGTTGACAAGAACGTCTGAGGAACAGTGCGGGGTGGGGGAATAAACTTGGGGAAATAGTTTTACTTTGTGTAATGACCCATCCACTCCCAGTCTTTATTCAAGCCTAAGTTAATTGAATCCAGTTTGCAAATTAATTCCAATTCAGCAGTCTCTTGTTGGAATCCGTTTTTGAAGTTTTTTTTGTTGAAGAATTGCAACTTTTAGGTCTGTAATCGAGTGACCACAGAGATTGAAGTGGTCTCCAACTGGTTTTTGAATGTTATAATTCTTGACGTTTGATTTGTGTTCATTTATTCTTTTATGTAGAGACTGTCCAGTTTGACATGGCAGAGGGGCATTGCTGGCACATGATGGCATATATCACATTGGTAGATGTGCAGGTGAACGAGCCTCTGATAGTGTGGCTGATGTGATTAGGCCCTATGATGGTGTCCCCTGAATAGATATGTGGACACAGTTGGCAACGGGCTTTGTTGCAAGGATAGGTTCCTAGGTTAGGGGTTCTGTTGTGTGGTGTGTGGTTGCTGGTGAGTATTTGCTTCAGGTTGGGGGGCTGTCTGTAAGCAAGGACTAGCCTGTCTCCCAAGATCTGTGACAGTGATGGGTCGTCCTTCAGGATAGGTTGTAGATCCTTGATGAGACGTTGGAGAGGTTTTAGTTGGGGGCTGAAGGTGATGGCTAGTGGCGTTCTATTATTTTCTTGGTTGGGCCTATCCTGTAGTAGGTGACTTCTGGGTACTCTTCTGGCTCTGTCAATCTGTTTCTTCACTTCAGCAGGTGGGTATTGTAGTTGTAAGAATGCTTGATAGAGATCTTGTAGGTGTTTGTCTCTGTCTGAGGGGTTGGAGCAAATGTGGTTGCATCGTAGAGCTTGGCTGTAGACAATGGATTGTGTGGTGTGGTCTGGATGAAAGCTGGAGGCATGTAGGTAAGTATAGCGGTCAGTAGGTTTCTGGTATAGGGTGATGTTTATGTGACCATCGCTTATTAACACCGTAGTGTCCAGGAAGTGGAACTCTTGTGTGGATTGGTCCAGGCTGAGGTTGATGGTGGGATGGAAATTGTTGAAATCATGATGGAATTCCTCAAGGGCTTCTTTGCCATGGGTCCAGATGATGAAGATGTCATCAATGTAGTGCAAGTAGAGTAGGGGCATTAGGGGATGAGAGCTGAGGAAGTGTTGTTCTAAGTCAGACATAAAAATGTTGGCATACTGTGGGGCCATGCGGGTACCCATAGCAGTGCCGCTGATTTGAAGGTATACATTGTCCCCAAATGTGAAATAGTTATGGGTGAGGACAAAGTCACAAAGTTCAGCCACCAGGTTTGCCGTGACATTATCGAGGATACTGTTCCTGATGGCTTGTAGTCCATCTTTGTGTGGAATGTTGGTGTAGAGGGCTTCTACATCCATAGTGGCCAGGATGGTGTTTTCAGGAAGATCACAGATGGATTGTAGTTTCCTCAGGAAGTCAGTGGTGTCTCGAAGATAGCTGGGAATGCTGGTAGTGTAGGGCCTGAGGAGGGAGTCTACATAGCCAGACAATCCTGCTGTCAGGGTGCCAATGCCTGAGATGATGGGGCGTCCAGGATTTCCAGGTTTATGGATCTTGGGTAGCAGATAGAATATCCCAGGTCGGGGTTCCAGGGGTGTGTGTGTGCGGATTTGTTTTTGTGCTTTTTCAGGGAGTTTCTTGAGCAAATGCTGTAGTTTCTTTTGGTAACTCTCAGTGGGATCAGAGGGTAATGACTTGTAGAAAATGGTGTTGAAGAGCTGCCTAGCAGCCTCTTGTTCATATTCCGACCTATTCATGTTGATGATGGCACCTCCTTTGTCAGCCTTTTTGATTATGATGTCAGAGTTGTTTCTGAGGCTGTGGATGGCATTGTGTTCTGTACGGCTGAGGTTATGGGGCAAGTGGTGCTGCTTTTCCACAATTTCAGCCCGTGCACGTCGGCGGAAGCACGCTACGTAGAAGTCCAGTCTGTTGTTTCGACCTTCAGGAGGAGTCCACCCAGAATCCTTCTTTTTGTAGTCTTGGTAGGAAGGTCTCTGTGGGTTAGTATGTTGTTCAGAGGTGTGTTGGAAATATTCCTTGAGTCGGAGACGTCGGAATAGGATTCTAGGTCACCACAGAACTGTATCATGTTTGTGGGGGTGGAGGGGCAGAAGAAGAGGCCCCGAGATAGGACAAATTCTTCTGCTGGGCTGAGAGTATAGTTGGATAGATTAACAATATTGCTGGGTGGGTTAAGGGAACCACTGTTGTGGCCCCTTGTGGCATGTAGTAGTTTAGATAGTTTAGTGTCCTTTTTCTTTTGTAGAGAAGCAAAGTGTGTGTTGTAAATGGCTTGTCTAGTTTTTGTAAAGTCCAGCCACGAGGAAATTTGTGTGGAAGGTTGGTTCTTTATGAGAGTATCCAGTTTTGAGAGCTCATTCTTAATCTTTGCTTGTTTGCTGTAGAGGATGTTGATCAGGTGGTTCCACAGTTTCTTTGAGAGTGTGTGGCACAAGCTGTCAGCATAGTCTGTGTGGTATGTAGATTGTAATGGATTTTTTACCTTCAGTCCTTTTGGTACGATGTCCATCTGTTTGCATTTGGAAAGGAAGATGATGTCTGTCTGTATCTGTACGAGTTTTTTCATGAAGTTAATAGATTTCCATTCCATACGGCTTAATTCAGTGCCTTGCATAATGACAGGTTTCAGAGTAGCATCCGTGCGAGTCTGTATTCGCAAAAAGAAAAGGAGTATGTGCCACCTTAGAGACTAACCAATTTATTTGAGCATAAGCTTTCGTGAGCTACAGCTCACTTCATCGGATGCATTCAGTGGAAAATACAGTGGGGAGATTTATATACATAGAGAACATGAAACAATGGGTATTACCATACACACTGTAACGAGAGTGATCACTTAAGGTGAGCTATTAGCACTCTTAGGTTTTCCTTCATGTGCAAGTGACAGGGAGCTCCAATCCCCAGATCTTGCCACCAGCCCAGGTTTTTGACACAGATGCCCTGTGTCTGCATACTGCCTCCTGATTTCCTTGGGAGCAGTTCAGTCAGGATCCAGGCACCATCAGGACCTAATACAGTAATACTGACTCTGTCAGGGATCTTCTGAGGGGAACCGTTGCCCAGATACTGGCTGATCCTGCCCTGGGCCCTCCCACCCTCTGATCTGGATTTGTGCAATGGAGATTTAGATGGGTTGCGCGGAGAAGACTGTGAAACTATTTCTCCCCATTTCTGTGCCCCTCTCGGGCCAGCGGCCCTGGGTTTCAGCACCCCAGCTCTCAGTGGGAGTGTCTGGGTGGGAGTTGCCGAATCCTGCAGCAGAGTTACATCCAGTACAATAATAAAGTGCCTGTCACAGGGGCTGAAGTGGCCTTGTGCTGGGCTTCCACACCTGGGTGAATTTCACCCTTAGTAACCAACAGAAAAGGTGGCTCCGATTTTCTTTTAAAGCCAATTAGGTGCATCACTCCTGCTCATAGCAAGACGCTGCTGTGCCCTGGACCAGGAACTCTCCCGCATCAGTATTTAGTCTTCAGCATTCTCCACTTTTCCTTTTGCCATAAATGCAACTCAGCTTCCTATGTTGCTCTGTAAAATTGCCTTTTAACTGGTTTACCAGGCTGCGTTTCCTTAGGCAGCTGCACTAGAGTCACTTATTTACTTCTTAAGCACGGCCCTGGGCTTCTGAATAGACCATTGAGGCCCAGCTGTATTTTGATAGCAGGCACATTGTATAGTAGTATTCTATCCTCCACCTTTCACTCGCGCTGCTGGTAGGTTTCTATCCCTGCAGAGCACAGTCCTGCCACTGTCAGACCAGTCAAGAAACATACAAGGGGCTGA